AAAGCAGGGGAGTTTTAATTTTTCTCAAAAATTATTCATTTATTCATCAATTTGAAAAGTCGCAGAGGGACAAATCTGGTGAATACGGAGGCTGAGGCATGATTAAAGTGAATACCTTGAAGAGACATCAGCTTATAGCAGGGTCCCCCACAACCAAGTAAAATAAAAACTCATGCCTTAATTAACTGTAAATAAACGCTTTGAACTTGATTACGGTGTTGTTTTTGAGCAAAACATTACGAATAAGTAATGACGAGTGAACAGATGTATTATCGAGATGCAAAAGGCGGTTTTGCGAACGAACTCTTCTGCCACACGCTTCATGCCCAAAATTTCGAAAAAAATTGCCTAGCATGAGCCAACCCATATACACACATCCTTCTCTTATAGTCATTCGATGATTCTCCGTAACAATTTTCTTCACTTTATCAACATATTCATCAGTTGTTAAAGTGCTGGGGTGTCAAGGACGAGTATCGTCATTCACATCTTCTCGATCATCTGTGAAAATCTTGTACCATTTTTCTGACTCAGAGTACAATCACCATATGCCACTGTCAACTTTTCAAGTGTTTTGAGCACCAAATTCAATTTTTTGAAAAAATCGCTAATCGAATGTATATAGCTCGCGAAATTTGAACATTCACCATATTTTTTTAACATACCCCGTACGATTTTAGTGGAATTCCAAATAAAAAAAGACAACAACGGTTTTTCTATACACTTGGAAAGGTCATTCGCGATTTTATAAACAATAATTTTTGTCTAATCGGATTTTCTCAAGTTTCGTTTTTTGCTTCAGTCATATATATTAAAATACTAAAAACTACTGACTTTTTACTTATTATTTAAAATAATTTCGTCTGTTTTGTTTATATTGTCAATTTGTTTAAGTGGCTGAAAAAGAGGTAATGCATAAGGTTAGGTTTGGAAAATTAATAATGTTATTTTCATATCTCATATCTAATCTTGTCAGCGATTATCGATAAAGTTTTCTATAAAACCAAACAACTTTTTTTGTAAATAATATTTACGTTTTTTCTCATGAATAGCAAACTTGTTTTCCTATCTGAATGATATGTCTAATGATTGTTACAGATTAAAGTATTTATTCATGGTGGAAATTGCAGTTCATATTTAATAATAAATATATTTTGCTTGAAATGGCTGCACTAATTTTAAGTTTTTTTGTTTTCCCTTTCGCTTATTCAAAGANACATGCCTGAAGAAGCTATTGTATAGCGAAACACTTGTCGCGGTTTTTGTAAAACCCTTATAGTGAAAATCATAGAATAAACTCTATTGATTAGTTTTTTAAGATATTTCAGAAAATATTCTTATTCTCATGTATACAAATAAGACTGACTATGCTGTTTTATAATTCCAACTGAACAAACGTATTTATTTATACTACTATTAAAAATATCAGACACCATCACAAAATGCACACCAGTGCTTATGTAAACTTTATTCTTTGCATGTTCAGTTATCTTGAACAAAATGGAAATTTTGTGTTTGGTAATTATTGTGTATCTACTGACAAAAAAGAAAATGTATGAAGTATTAGTTTGTCATTGAAATAATCCTTTGTCCTAGGTCAGTTTTATTTTTGTGGAGCTGTGATAAAAGCAATATACAATTCCTAGTATCTAATCTATGTAAACATTAAAATTTCTATATCATGTTCAGCTTTTTCAACTTGCTTTTGATTGATATCGTTTTAATAGACGTGAAATTTCATTTTCGTTCGTTAGATGGATAAATTATTCTTTTCATTGAATGAATGTTTAAGTGATGACCTAATATGAGATGCATGTTGTCCCTTTATGCTTATACTGCCCATGTTAAATTACTTCCTTTTCCTTCTATTGTGTGCCTTTTGTATGGTAGTTTTGATTATGTACATATTTGTTTTACTTATAGTTTATATCACATGTCCTGTATGTGGTTTATCACGTTAAATAATAATGGTGAAACCAGTAATCGCCTTTACAACTAGCGAAGTTTGCATCAAAAAGAGTTTTTACAAATAATCCAGTTTCTATTATGCACAAATTGAAGTTTGTTGACATCAGAACAAAGATTCCCACATTTTACAAACTGATAAGAAAAATATAAAAGAAGTAATAATAACGTGGAATATACTGTGTGAAAGCCAAATGGAATAAATTATTTATTTCGGTTACTGTACATATTTAAAAAAAATCCGAAACACGTCAAATATAAATTATAATTGGACATTCTGCAACGTAAAAATGCCACCATTACCTTCAACCCCCTTCGAATGACAGGTACAGCCCCCAATTTTTTAAATGGGTTTGTGAAATATCATTTGAAAGGTCTCTTCATTCCCTATTCAAAAATGTTATCGCTTTCAAGTTTATTGCAAAAATTAAAATAAAGATAACAAACTGCAAATTTGTGGTTTGTTCATCGATTTTTCTAGAGCATTTGACTGTGTGGATCACTATGTACTAATCCAGAAAATGCTTCGCTATGGGGTTCGTGGAGTTGCCCAAGATTGGATGAGGTCATATCTAGAAAACAGGTCACAAACAGTGAGAATTCAAGGTGTTCACAGTCAGTCCTTGGCCTGCAAGTAAGGAGTTCCACAGGGGTCTATACTCGGACCACTGCTTTTTCTTATTTATGCGAACGACTTGATACAATACCTAAATAGTCTTTCAAAGGTACATATAGTTGCATATGCAGACGATACAAATGTTCTGGTCACTGATTGTAATACATTAGCACTTGCAGAATCAGAATCCATATATAAGAAAATAATGAAATGGGCTGAAAAAAATCATTTAGCACTAAATATCAGCAAAACAGCATTAGTCAAATTCACAATGCAGAACACCACCGAAACTCTCAAAATATATGAAGATAGCCAACTAGAGGTGACATCCAAACCAGAAAAAAATGCTAGGTCTATTTCTAGATCATAAGCTGAATTGGGGTCCTCATATAGATTCACTATGTGATAAACTACGAAAGAACTGTTATGCACTGAGATTTATGTCGAATCATTGTGGAAGAGTGGTGTTCCTAAGTCTGTACTATGCAACTATTGGCTGTCACTTGCGCTATGGAATCCTGAATTGGGGTATGAGCTTCTCTGCTGAAACAGTATTTATTTTACAAAAGCGCGCGGTCAGAATAAATGCTAGTTTAGGATGGCGACACTCATGTAGAAGCTCATTCAAAGAGCTGGAAATACTCACAGTTGCTGGTTTGTATATATATGAGATGTGTCTCTACGTTCATAGAAATAAAGAAAAATTTAGCGCAAACCAGCAAGACCACCCATACGCAACTAAAAGGGTTGTTGATAGCGAATCCTCACCGAATCTCCCTCTATCAAAAGAGTCACCTATACCTTGGACCTAAATGGTATAACAAGCTAGATGTTTCTATTAAGGACTCAATGAACATCTGCATTTTCAAAAGACGCAATTGAAAAAATGTCTTATCGAAAGAAACTGCTACACCGTTGACGAGTTTTATTAGTTACTCTCGATAAATAAACTGTTAATTACCTTCATATATACAGTTTAGTATCTGTCGTGTTTTGTTGTTTTATATGTATCTACTTATATTTGTTTTTAGTTATACATGGACGTCTTCCTTNAAACGCCTTGGAGTGAGCCAATCCTGGAAGATTCTGCCAGAAGTCCATAACTCTTCTTGCCATCCAGGTGTTAAGTGTTTGTTTGGCAAAGCCCAAAGCGATGGCAATGACAGGTTCTGATCCAATGAAACCGCTTGCAGCACCCTCCTTTGCAAGAGAGTCAGCAGCTTCATTGCCTTCCAGGCCAGTATGGCCAGGAATCCAGACCAGAGACAATCTGTTTAGTCTTCCTGTCGAGGACAGTCTTTTTTGGCAGTATCAATTTAGACGTTGCTTGGTTGCCAAGAGTTTCCAACGCCGCTTGACTGTCCGAGAATATTTTTATTGACTTGTGAGTGAGGTTGGATTTATCCAATCTCTCCGCACACAATTCAATAGCGTAAATTTCCGCTTGAAATACAGTCGCATTAGTTCCTAGGCGGGTAGATAACTCTGTCCTGGGTCTGCGACTGAAAGCACCTGCACCGGAACCGGAAGGTGTTTTTGATCCATTTGTGAACCAACAACTATCTGCTCTTAATATTTCCTCCTCCCGCAGGATCCAGTCCTTTCTACTCGGGAATAGTACTTTATAATGCAGTTCAAGTAATGTTGTAACATACAAAACAAGTTGATAATGCGTTTTTAAACTAAAGTTGTCACGGAAAAGATTTACAGTTTTTCAAAGGATACCATCTAAAAAGAACATTGCCATGGTTTTTGCTTACTTTCTTATTATCAATACCTCAACATGAACTAAGTTTTGAGTTTAAATAGAAAGGGTTATATTTTGAGTATATTGCAATAAGCTTTGAGTGTATTTTATGGAATTTCGGTAACCATATGATTCTAATTTATTTTATCTTAATTGTTGCAATAAACTTGAAAGCGATAACTTTTTTGAATAGAGAAGAATAAAGAGACCTTTCAAACGATATATCACATGTCCATTAAAAATTTTTGGGGGTTGTAGCATTTCTCCGTTGAAGTATGTCAAATTATAATTCAAATTTGACGTGTTTCAGGATTTTGTTAAAATATGTACCATAACCGAAATAATGAATTTGTTCAATTCGGCTTTCACACACTGTAGATATACTGCTGTGGTTTCTCTAATTTCTGGACAGACTATAGTGACCATGATAAAGGTTTTAAATAAAACCAATTACTGTACAAAAAAGAGAGTGGGCCTGTTAAAGTATTATAAACCGTTCTAAATTCGCTGTGGCGAATCATAATGAAATTACAAAATTTTGTTTGGGCACTCTTTACTATCAGTAAAGAGTATAACCTCATTTGAAACCCGCATCAAAGTTTACTAGAACTGTCCCACCTTAACCAACTTGTCTTCACTAGAACTGTTCGTCTTTATTCTTTCAATTTTCAGAAGTATGGTCCCTGAAATGCAAATGTGATTTATGCAAGGATAAAAACTACACATGTGAAACGGATGGATACTGCTACACCTCCACATATCTCAAGAACGGAGTCATCCATTTCAATTACAGGTATGAAGACATCGTTCATTTCTTCTTTTCTAACTGATTCATTTCTAAATTTTGAAATCCAAAATTTTACTAAAGATTAGTATTAAATTGCACACAATCGGAATGGCTCGAACAATAAAATTCCAATCTGGTTTACATTGAAAATCCGATGCCGAAATCTAATCGGGAATTCAACATCCGTAACCATTCGATATTTACTAATTGTTGCATGTTGATGTACTAGATGTTTAGACAGAAAGCAGTTTTTCCCGCCCGAGGATCACAGAGGGTGTTACGCTGATCCGAGTATAAGTTGCTGCAAAGTAGATTTTTGTAACGACAAGAAAAAGTTTCGACCCACTGTTATTTCTTTCAGTAATTTAACTAGTTCAGGTAAGGGTGTGACTCCCCTTCCTTAGGTTGCGTATTCGCAGAGGACCTCGAAGAATTTCCAACAAATGGAATAAAAGAGTGTTCTGACGAAAATGTGCGTCATTTGGTGAAAACCAAAAGTTTGTTTTTGTAATAATGCCAATGTTTTTAATGAGCTATTTAAAAATATGTAAATCTTCAATTTTTATATTCTTTGTTTTTTTCTGAATATCCGTTGAGAAAAAATGTGTTTAACTTGTTCTCATGGAAAAACAATTCACTAAACTTGCTAACACTAAACAAAATATCAACAACACCGTGATTCATTTTTTGATAACACTGACTATCAGCAGGAAAGAATTGATGAAAGTCATTAAGATAACAAAGTAAGCATAGTATGGAAATTTCCACCATCATTTGCACAGAAAATCTATTGTGAATGAAAAAGTTTGCATCTTTCCAATACCAATTTAGACAATTTGGTTTCTTCTTATCCCCTTCCATTAGTAAACCAAACAGTTCATTTTGTCACAATCTTAATTCAAAAATTCTTGAACAAGATTCTCTTATACTATAACAATTTTCAATTGAAGGTGATTCATCAGCAACGTCGCACTTGAAGTGACCAACGGATAATCCTCTTACCAACTCTGCAGAGGCGTACCAAAATAATATTTTTATTCATTTAAACACATAGGTAATTACGTAAAAATTGTTATAGTATGTGGCGTTACCTGGTGTCAATGGTAAAACTGATTACATTTTCTTATAACAAAGTCACCTTCACAAGAAACAGAACACACTACGCCTATGCAGATAAGGACGATTGATAATGAAGAAACCGAATGACTAGTTATGTCATTTTAAGGACGCGAATATAATAGAGCTGCGAAGTGTTGATCAGTTTACCGATGTTTCAAAGTATTTAGCGAACTAGTTCTCACCTATTCGCTCGTACATCCTATCGATATACAGAAGTTATCTTGTTACGGGGGGCAAATTTTATGGAATCATCTTACTTTTCAATAATTATTTACAATGGCGATGCATTGACAATAAAAATGACCCCGGTAAAAACTTAGTTCTTACATTTAACATTGTTGTCGTTAGCTCTTAATTCAATTTGTATATGAAAATGTAATTGAAAATTGTTATACTATAGACAAGAATCAAAATTATATTTCTTCAACAAATTCTGGAGTAATTAGTTTTTCTACAGTTGAACAAAAATACGTTTTTTTCGTTTTCATCATTACTATGTCTTGGATGACCTTGGAGAAATTTTGAACAGTTCCACGTTCATTAAATTTTGTAGTATTTTTCTGTGAACCTAGTGATGGCATTTCTATCTACGAATTTGTCCAAGGAAAATTGTTCTTCACACCAGAACATGTAAAAAGTCACGATTCTGAAGACTCAAACTTACTATGTGAAAACGAAGCGAGCTCAGTTGGTTATATTACCACATAACCATACTTTACTCAGGAACCCGATAATGACAGTATTCCATTTGTGGGATATTTTGTGAGGTTCTCTGTACATTGAATAACAATATCCTTTAGGTTTCGTGCAGATATTGATGGTTTTGAATAGAGTAAACACTTTTTTTGCAGTTACTATTATAGACTGGTTTATTCAGATTCTCTTCATGAAAATACTTTGTAAAAATTGGAATCTATATAAGACTGATCCTGATCGAGGTGCATCCATGCATTGTCAAAAATACAAGAATAGGATTGAAAAATTTATGTACAAACCCGTCTCAGTAAAATGGATTTATTTGATAGGAAAATTACCGAGCAAGCATACTAAGATGGCTAATTTGATATCGAGGAACTAGTCTACGAAGCTACAAGATATTTTGGCCCCTTGACAGTTCACAGAGTAAAAAATGAGAAAGATGTTGCGTGAAAAAAAATCATTATTCATTAAAACACACCCTGCTTTTCACTATCTAGTGGCTCATGAGGCGTCATGTTCGAATTGTGAAAGATGTTTCGATTATTGAAGATTGTAAATTTTCAGTCAGTCTGTTGGCTGAGGTCTGCAGGTCTCTATCGTCGACGATTCGTCTGCAACTGCGGTAGACATCAAAGGCGATAAGGTAATGGACGAAGTGCTTGTAGCTGTCCTCACAGCACGTACTAACGTTGTCGTTCAATATTATTATTATTGTTATGTACTTGACGTGTTGAAGGTGTTGCAGTAGTTTTTGGGTCAAACTTGTCCCTTCACAAACTTGACGTGTTTTGTTTTTTTTTTTTCTAAAATATGTTTCCCTGGCAGTAAGTTTTGTACCACCCCGTATTATAGTGAACATCATGAGGATGTATTCGTAACTGAAGAATGCTTATGTTTATAGATATGATTGTTCGACGATATACATTTTATTTTTGGTAAATACGGTTGGTTTTATTTTTTGATGTAAACATTTTTTTAAATCATATTCTGTTACTTCAAATACAACAGAAAAATGTGAGAATTCTGAATATTTCAGTCTATTTTGAAAAACTAACGTCAACTTTTTTCTGGATTTTTATTTCTATGGTATATAGTTGGAGCTTCTACTGCACGAAACCGGTGGTTTTCTGAAGTGTTTTTTTCATTGTTTTAATACTAACTGGGCGTTTTATTTTGTTTTTGCTTGAAAGATAATGCGGAACGGCAGTTACAGAAAAATCCCGGTACGATCTAATACTAATTTAGAGTCAAGTCATGTTAACAATTAGTTCATACTGTATAGTTTCGAAAGGAATTACAATTCACCTGAACAGGAAAACGTTGCCAAAGACGAAGTAATGTTTTTGTAGCACCCCTCATTGTTTTCTTAAGGGTTACCGACGTGGTAGAATAAAGTGATTTGTAATATACCAGGTGTTCCAAAAGTGCTTTTTTTCTCGATAGATACATGTATTTATCTGGGGCCAACTTTCCAAAAAAACTTAAATCATTATCCTCCAAAGATTACATGGTGAAGTGATAATTAATACTGATATCTCTTAATCTAATTCACAATATAATATTTCAAAAATATCCTTCAGTATAAATCCTAATAATTTTTTTAGGAAAGAAATAGGATATCATATGGTTGATACAAAATTTAAGGAGTTGCCAAAATCTAATTAATACTAAAATGCTTATCATTGATGTTATACATAGAATAATATCAATGATGAAATATCAAATTTGACATGAAAATAGAAAGGCAAGAATTTTTGGTGTAACCCGTTGAAATATTCGGCACAATTTTGTCGAATTCACTTTTTACTGGAGATGCATTACTCAAAATATAATAACAGTACTTTCAATGGTATAATTACATTTTAGTTTGAATTTACTTTGTATGAACTATTTTTCTAGTAGGTCCCTCGTTCACTTAGAATTGTCCCTATATTTTATGATCACATTTTATCAATTTGGGATTCATAGTTGGTTAAGAAGATGTGAAATAATATTTATGTAATGAATGAATGAAATGAAACTTTATCTGCTATTGATATAAGTGTCTGTTATTTATTATATTATCGACTAAGTACAGACATTTGACTGAGCAAAACCGAACACACCAAAAAACAAAAGATTCTCCAGGAAAAAAATTGCTCCTTGCAAACATCCTCGAACAAAAACCAGATGGAATTTTATTGCAGGAAAATTATCTTTGGCGGGTATTTCCAATTGATGACGTTTTTCACATATGTGTTTTAAATGAATATGTTTTCGATTTTTCTCAATATATATACTCACTGAAAGTAAATTATATGGGTTATTATGGGTTATTTTTTAGATTTATCACACTCTTTGTATGTGTTGAACGAATGAATACAACTACCTACTAATGACAATATGTGTAGATGTACCCATAATCCGCAGCCCAGGATCCTTTTTCATTATTGCTCATAAAGAGTTTTCATAATTAGCTTCGTTTTAACGAATCTCCAAATTTTTACCCTCTGCGAAAATTCTGGCTATTGGTAGTTAATTAAATGCCCGGGCAATGGGGAATGTTCCTCAATTTGGGTTATTACAGCAAATTCAAGTTTGAACAAAATAAAGTTGAGTTTTAAAAATAAAAGAGGTCCAAGATTAGAACCTTACGATTTGATCTTCACATTTTGAATGATAGTTCTCGCATTAGCATGGAAGAAATTGAAGAATCTGTCGTACCTGTACCTTTTTTCAGTGAATGGTTCTGAACATACGATTACCAAATAAAGGTGTAAAAAAAAGTTTTCGCAAGTTTGACGGTATTTATATACTGAGTGACAAAGAAAGGTAAACACCCATTTATATTGAAAATATTTCAATAATGTTTTGCATGTGTATTTATGTTGAGGCCAGTAAAAAGCCAGTAAAGTTTCAGCCGTATCGGAAGCTATTCTGACCAGTTTTTCAACTGTTTTTTTGTGTGATCATTTACAGTTTCTCCAGTTTTTATTCTTATTTGTGCTTTAACTGTTGAAGAGTTTGTTGTAAAGTGTTTTGTGACTTCGTCGTATTCTCAACTTAGTGATTTTGAGAGAGGACGAATTGTTGGCTTACGTGAGGCAGGTTTTTCAGTTAGAGAAATTTCAGAAAGAACCAATCGATATTTGCGTACAGTAACTCTTGAAAAATCACCACTGGTCGGGGTCATAAATATATTCACAAAA